AAAATGTATTTATTAAGTGAATTCTGCTTTCAAAGGAAAACGTCACGGAGTACATAACGACGAATAAAGGCTATTATTTATAATGCAAGTGTCCGTAAAAGCATCGTAAATAAAAAGACAATTCGTAAATTGCAAAATGTAATTGCAGGCGCTGGCGGCGACCGGCGGCGGCGCGGCGAGCACCCGTGCTAATGAAAATTTAAAGTAACCGGTGCGGGTTTTTACAGGAATCCAAGTTATAAGCCTTTCACTAAAAGCACCATATTTATAAATTATCGAAAGCTTTATATTATTCAAAAGAAAAACTGGTAAAATAACATATGAATTATTACAAAAACGATACCTAAACATCACTGAACATTAAGCGAATATTTCAAAGCGAAATTAATTTTCGCTACGTATTTCACAGTAATTGGCACTCGACTGCTCTACATGTGTACTCTATAAAGCTATTCTAGTAAAGTGTAAATATAACCTAGTAGTAGATATTGCTTATAACTTAAGCCTTACGCCATGTAAGGGTGTGCGGCGAGGGCGGGGGCAGTGGCCACATGCTCCGGTGCGATGCATCGCGACCTCGGTGCACTGACCCTCGTGCAGCTTGCAGCCTATGTCACAGCCCGCATACTACATGTAAGTACATATCAACACAAATACCACACTATAATTATGTTATATACTCGTACATCAGGAGTTATGTAAAATTGATATGAACAATCCTACCTGAAGCAAGGATACTAGCATATTCTGAGGAAAGTTTATAGGACAAATAGATGTATTATACTATACCTTATTTAATTGCAATATAATATTCAATTTTCTCATACTGTTTTGTTACCAGGGCATTCTAATTATACTTATACTAAGCCATTTCCTGTTTTGTTTGGTTCTGAACTAGCTCATTGAGACCGCGCAAAATTCAACAACGTGGATCATCATTTATTCAGACAACGTGGCAATATATACTGAGACCAGAGCCGGGTTAAAGGAGGCACTTTTATCATGAAAACTAATGTATTGGGAATCTAATGTTGAGTATTGCAAAAACCCAGTTCATACGCTTTAACAGAAGCAAATTCAAACGACAATATCTCCATTCCAATCAACGATCATCTAGTAAGCGTGTGCGATCAGTATAAGTGTTGAGTAGTACGATATACAATTCTGGAAACTTGAAATGCAATATTTAATATAAGATAGCCGCAATATGGCTAAAATGAGAGAAGTGACTGATGTCTCACGTAATAAAAAGATGCCTGTTAAACTCGAAGGTTTTGTTTATAAGATCATCATAAGATCGATCTATACATATAATAAAATTCTAACTAAGTCAAATCTGTACATTAAATATTTTTCTGAAAATCTTATTGAAATAGTCATTATTATCGATACAGAGGCCGAATCTATAGTTTTTAGAATTTTTGTCTGTCTGTTACCGCATCACAGAAAAACCACTAGAGGTATTTTGATGAAATTTGGTATGATGATAGCTGGTTATCCGGGTCAACATATAGGATACTTTTTACAGCGGGAAAATATCTCATTTTTGAGAAAAAATACAAAAACTGCAATGTAAGAGTATACTAATATGAAAAAAACTTAAGAATTTGGTTTTAGTCATCTGAACGCGGGCGGAGTCGCGGGCAATGCTAGTCCAATATATGGCAGTGAAAAGTGGGCCATAATTAAAAAACACATACCATTCAAGTTTCCGAGATAAAGATGCTACTGTGTGATGTACAGCATTACCAGACTCGATAAAATCCGCAACGACAAGATGCAGAAAAGTAAAAAGATGCAGGTCGAAAATTCAGAGGCAGTCCCCAAACTAGATGAAAAGATATAGTGTTAAAGGACATGAAGGCGTTCAGGCTTTTCGAAGACGATGTCTCATCATCATCATCATAGATCGAGGTAAACACGAAAAACAAGGAAGGCTGACCCTACCACCATGTTAGCCAGGAAAAGAGAGCGACAGAGGTTCTAATTATATTTTATTTATGAAAGGAATGTTGATTATTGATTCCAAGTTGATTTTAGTAAGTATATTAAATATGTAGGTATACAATACAGGGTCATTTTTAATTTACTGAAAACCTTTTGGGAATATACTATTTACATCATAACAACAACATCTTTCACAAGAAAAAATAATATTTCTTAAATTTTTATTTTCATACAAAAATAAAAATATTTTTATTGCACCTTCTAAAGTCTAAACGGTAAAGTTCTAGCATCTAGATGGCTTCGTACACCCCTCCACCGGTCACGCGCTTTCTTTTGCTAATTGCTGGACTATGACCGTGTTTTTGTAAAATTTAAGAAATATTATTTTTTCTTATTACAGATGTTGTTGTTATGATGTAAATAGTATATTCCCAAAAGGTTTTCAGTAAATTCAAAATTACCCTGTATACATATTATATTGAATCCGTAATTGTTGGCTTTAGTAATTGTAACAAGTTAACTGTTTTGCTTTAAATTAATGGCAATAATATTAGTATAATTAACTATTACACATTAACAATATTTTTTAATTATTTTTTTGATTGCTTATATATTTTAAAAACGTCTTAAGAACTTAATGATTTTAATTTGTACTTACATATGCCATGCCCTTTATAACACCTAAAATAAAATAAAAATTACAAAATAAACTCAAACAAAAATAAAAAACTATCCTTCAAATCACCACTAGTTCTAAATATTTTTGAAGTTAAATATGAAAGGAATCTCTTTTTAAACTTTTATTTACCTATATACTGTCGTACTTGTTATGCTTAATCATCAACAGCATCTCATTTACTTCTATACTAAAAAGAGAATTTACTCTTCACACCTTGTTTCCAAATCCCTTGTTACTTGTAAGCTTTTTGTATTGAAATACAAAATCGGTCTTAATGGATATTATTATCATAAAGAAAATATACATGAGCCCTTTTAAAATTATTGAAGTCATTTTCTGAGATTGAGTGGTCTATTTTTATATTAATTAAAATCGTTAAATGGAATTTTTCCCACCCTTCTCGGAACATAAGTATAAATGTTTTCATAACATTGACTCGACCATAACAGCACTAATTGGGTTCCATGGAACATACAACAAGATCTTTTGATTTTCTTTCTTTCAATATACATACTTATATTGTAAGATACATTGTGGATCATAATATAGAGTTTTACAATTTGATCACAGGCCGTCTATCGAATATTGTAAGGTATTATTATGTTAGGATATATCTATACCAATAAATCTCAATTTTTACCATGTAACTTAAACTATGTCAAACACCTATTTCGACGCGCGTAAAACATACTATTAAAATTTTATCGGAATCCGATAATGGACGGCATAAAAAATTAAAGGCATAAAAATAAACACTTTTTAGGGTTTTGTAAGGCCCTTTGACTTAGATACCTGTTTCTATACCGCCGAAAATTAGAAGGTAAGTGTAGATTGCTCGAAAAATAACAAAATTACAAAAAATAAATAGGGTACGTGCAAAACATACAAAGCAACATACAAACATACAAAGTTTCGACATCTTTGAAAAAAAACTTTTTTTTTAAGTTTTGAAATGCATTTACGCATACCGCCTGCATACATATAACTGGTTATCCTAATAGGACTTCGCAGGATCGCTTACGCACTCAACCACGACGCCCAGACGGCGGGCCTGCCGAAGTAGACCACAACAACCAAGGGGTTGCTCCCACAATCCACTCTGCCGTCAGAGAAGTACCAGTAGCAACCCGCATGGCATACCACCCACCTAGGTGGGTCGCCTCCCAGAGTGTTTCTTGGCTTCACTCCCAGCTGGACGCCTGAACCTTATGAGCCTAACCACGTTACCAGATACATATTGTCGCGTAGTGGAGAGTGTGTAACGTCATTACACCAAAAATAATAATTAAAAGGCACGTCTGAAGCAAGCTTTGTACTAAATAAACTTTATAATAAAATACTTAGACAATTGTCATCACATGATAATTAACAGACAAGGATAGTTAATCGTTAATTGCCGTGTGTAAGAGAGAAACAAAACATTTTCAGAAAGGCATCGAAATTACTAGATGGTTCGAAATTAACAGACAAGAACAGTTAATCCTAAATTGCCGTGTGTAAGAGTAAGAGAGGAACAAAACGTTAAAATTACTAGAAAGGTTTCGAGTTTTCGAATACTAGACTGTTCTTTATTTATGCATATAAAGTGGCCGACAGTGTGTCGAGAGATTACTTAAATTTCGAAGCTAAGTGAAAACTGAGAAGAAGTACAAAAAAGTAGAAAAGCGGAGTGAAGTCATAGTGAAAGTGTATCTAGTGGAGAAAATTAACCATAACTGTGTATATTACTGCGCGTGTTAGTGAATCTCCGTAAGTCACTCTTGTTAAAAAAAGCTATAAAACATCAGTAGTGCAAAAGACGTGCTTTAATTTCCGATCCACGAACTCACAGAACGTAACAATATGTATGTAGTATTTAGCTACATCTACTCACTCAACAATAAACGGTTCAATTACTGACTATATCGGAGCACCTGTTCAAGAATCACCAAACGTACTTATCTATCTATCACTGAGTGTTTGTGGAATTCACCGGAAATTATTATTGGCATACCTAAATTGTAAAACCAAACCAGGAATTGGCGCCGTAGCTCACGCATAAATTGATATGTCTTGTCCATATAAAACAATCTAAATAGTTAAGTTGAGTAATAATAATTTATATATTACTAACCCAAAAAAATGTAGTATCAGAATTACTTGAAACTTGGTAATAATTCTTTTCAATATAATTAAATAAATTCATGTTTGATTAAGCATTTTTCGAAATTCTTCCCATAAGGGGATAAAATAGGGCATGAAAGTTTGTATGAAACCTACCTTTTTCGAGTTTTTTTGTACTTTTAGCGCGAGTTCTGCTACTAAGTCAATAATGAAAATCATCCTGGTATAAACTATAATGTCCTTTTGAATTCGGCCACGGTTTCCAATATCACACAGAGCCCAGAGACTGAGATAATGTGTAGTGCTGGCGAGGGTACGTAGCTGCTGAGACCTCAGGCGATGGAATCGGTCCTGCTTTACGGAGAATTTCTTGATAGAATATATCCATATTTAGATCAACTGGGGTCTCGAACACACGGGCCTTCCGATCTTCAGGCATTCTAGCTATTGGACAAACAATTTATTTATACCACTCATCGTTAAATATAACTTTAATCCAAGATTATCAATGATGACCTATGGACAACGCAACGATATAAAAATCTTTGTATTCAAGTAGAAAGATAATTTAATTACTTTATTGGAACTAAATTGAAACGGGGACACTAACTCTAAATGTGAGGTACGGGGTTTACAATTGAAGAAGGTATTGCCTGAAATATACTCGATATGTGTTGTGTTGTCTTCTTTTTGGAAGAAGAAGAAGAGGTTTAAAATTCGCTCTACCGTCTCACTAATTTATTGGAAAAATATTTTTCCCTTTTGTTTATTAATTACGTACATACATACTTTTGTACACTAATACTAGCTTGAGCGAACTTCTTCGTTTATTACTCTTATGTACTGTCGTAATGGCTTTAATAAATAACATAATTTATAGCATGGATTATTGGCAATTCTGAACTTACAAATTTACACTGTCAAATAACGTTGAAGGAAATTAAAGATCACCTTTTCACTTAAGGAAACCCCAGGCAGAAACTAATTATATTTACTGGCTAGCTAGCTATGTTCTGTGACTTTGCAAATATATTAAATCCATAATTCTAACTTAAAGAGTGTGTAAACCAGAGTATTAAAGTACTTATTAATTTGACTTCTATTATACTTATCACAAAATTTCTCCAAAGATGTATTTTTAGCAAATACTCAATTTACAATTGTCTTTGACACGTTGACCTTGACAAAGTATAAGTCTCTAAGGATATTATAAAATCTCTTCATAGTGCATTGTTAGGGTACTAAAGGAATAATGTAATAATATTTGGAATTCCTCCATTCTTTTGAGCACCTTGGGTGTGCAGTTGAACCTCGGCCATTACCTATTTTTATTTCAATTTTACTAATTATAATATGTACTTTTTATTTTGCGTTCCACTTCTTACAAGTCTATGTATTTATTGTTAAAATAAAACTATTTAATATATTATAACATAATAATTGATTTATAATATATATTAACATTCGTAACATATTTAGTAGTTTCTCGGCTTCTAAAGAATAGTTATACAGGTGGATGTTCCCGACGTATGAGAGTTCAACGTAATGTCAAACACCTATCTATATCAGAAATAATTTTACGTCTAAATATAAACCATGCATAAGAATTCACAACACAGTGCGCGAGACAGTGAGATAGTGCGAGTCTCTGTTTCCTTGCCAATTGCTGCGACATTGTATCTATTGACACGGACCGCACCACGTTCGCCGACGACTATTTTAAGTGGAGGAGCGGCGCACGTGTCTCGAAGCACACCCGTGACGCGTCGCAGGTCCATCAGCAGCACGAACGGATTCGGTGCTTCTCAATGAAAAGAGAGTCTCTGCCCAGAAGCACATCGACGGCCGCGGCTTGGTCGTCGATGCGAGAGACAGCAGTACATATCGCATCACCGCCCGCCCGCAATTTCGCGTAAAATTGGCAGCGCGCGGCGGGCGGGCAGCGCGGCGCGGAGCGTCGCTCCCGAAATAGGGTTCGGGCACGGTCGTGCGCCGTCGGAAGCGGCGCCGCAGTCGCCGTGTGGCCGCGCGTCCTAGCCGCCGTCTGCGCCGCCTCACGCCCGCCCGCCGGAGCGAGGGCGAGAGCGCACTGCACGGCTCCACGGTGCGCGTATTTCGGTCGCGAAGAGGCCCCGGGCCGCGTCGGGCGCGCTGCCCGCGCGCTGGCCGCCGTGCTCTGGTGGTGGTGCGTGGCGCTGCTGCGGCTGGTCGCGCTCTGCGCGCCTCCCCCCGGCCCGCCCCCCGTTCGCGCCGCGGAAAATGCGCCCTCGGCGCCAGTTCGCGCCGCCTGCGCAGGTGCGCCCCCCAACGCTACCGAGCCACCGCCGCCGACGCCGCCGCCTGCCCGCCCGCCGGTCGAGTCGCCTTTACACGCCGGTCAGTAATACTGCTTTTTCCAATGCATATCTTAGCCCAGTAACTCAATGCCGGAATAGTCTACCTATGTTTGTTTCATTTATCACTCCTAGGGTTTCATATAAAATAATTAATTTATATATAAATAAAAACAGCATATGCAATAACATAAAAATAAGATATATACCTATTAGGTTATTAATAATATAACATAATGAATAACAACTAATAATATTTTAGACTAGCGAATCACCCACTATACTACGAGTCCCTACTATACTACGAGTACTATACGTTTAGTATAGACTTCTCAAAGATGGAATATTCTCCCGCAATAAAAAGTATCCTATATATCTTAAACCGGATAACCAGCTATCATCATACCAAATTTCATCAAAATCTGTCCAGTAGTTTTCTCGTGATGCGGTAATAGACAGACAGTCTGTCTGTCTATAACCGTTTTGTCAGACAGCCAAAAAATCTCAAAACTATAGATTCGGCCTCTGTATCAATAATAATGACTATTTCCATAAGATTTTCCAAAAAATATTTAATGTAGAGATTCGGCTTAGCTAGAATTTTATTATATATAGATTATATATATATATATATATATATATATATATATATATATATATATATATATCTATAGATTTACCCCAACATACTATTATCATAATGATTTTTTTCTCGTGAAAATGGAACTATCCTTAAACATCTAATTAAATTCTCATTTAATAACATTCTGACAATTAACTTTCTTATTAATCAATAAGCTATATTGACGGTAGATCTTCATTGTAATACATACTAAAAATCAATACAATTCCCAGACGCCGCCCACACTGTGGTTGAATTATCAAGACTGACATTCTACATAATAAAAACTATACATAGATAGCAAGAGCCTGTAGACAAAACAACTTGAAAGACGTTACACTCATATGATAAGTACGGGTGATATTAAAGGTGTATTATTAAAATTAGAGATAACGCAAGTTGAGGGAACGAAGAACCCGGAGGGCGCACGGATGTGGGTTATTAGAGCGAAGGTTCCGCCACACGCAGACAGCCCTCACCCTGAACACCTCCCTGCCCTTCCCTCATGTAAAATTTGCGACACGAGCGACGTACAGATAACTTCTCAACGAGAGTTCGGCGTTCGTTTTGATACCTAGACTTTTAAATTGCCGGAGAATGCTTCTTGGAATTCAATACATTATCGCGTAGACAGGTCACAATGACAATTATGATGCGATAACCACTCCACTGTACTGATAAGTGGGAACAATGTAAATATATTGAGCACTTATGTTTACTCTTGATATATTAGTTGTTCACTTATAAAAGATTTAACAACATTGTTAAAGAAAAATATTGCATATGAGATTAGATTTAACGGCTTTATCCGACATGTTATAGGTACTTTAACAGATAAGTTTTTACTTTTAAAATATTATCTATAATGAATTTACCAATCTGCATCAACTTCTACAACTTCACATACTTAGAATTATATTGTATTAAAATTATATCAGTTTAATTATACACATTGATTTTAAAAGTATATAAGAAGAATCAAAATAACATTTTTTAAATATATCCTACTAGCGACTCACCCTCGCTTCGCTCGTGTTCGTCCCTAGCTTGCTTCCCCATACAAACTTTCATCCCCATTCTCATCCCCTTTAAGGTATGATTTCTGGGATAAAAACTAAATCACTCGCTCACTTTTCATATCGTGAGATTTAAAAAAAAATTTTTCTTCCATACAAAGCTTGTCCTGACAATACAAACACAATAAAAACTTTTTAACAAAAAAATAAAAACTGACTTCAAACAAAAGCACTAAAAAGTCAAAAATAACTGATTGGTAGTTTTCATTTACTATACATACCTAATCAAATATTTTCGAAGTCGGTGTGCTATGCTTTGTATGGGCTGGCACCGATTTCGAAAATATTTGATTAGGTATGTATTTAATAGGTAGGCTTTAATTACTTAGCCAAAGCACACCGACTTCAAATATATTTGATTAGGTATGTATAGTAAATGAAAACTACCAATCAGTAATTTTTTACTTTTTAGTGCTTTTGTTTGAAGTCGGTTTTTATTTTTTTGTTAAAAAGTTTTTATTTTTCCCTTTTTAGTGTAGACAGTAGTAGCAAAGTAAGAATTCTAACGTATTAGGCTTGTCAAATCAAACAAAACAAGCCCAAACTCAAAGTATCTACTATTAGCCGTTGAAGAGTTCCACCTATCCACCTTCTGGCCTTACCATCAGATCAGATCAACAATACCGAACCACTGTACTATCAACGGAAATAGAAACACTTGCAAAGTTTCAAGTCAATATGACAATTAGAAGTAGGTTAAACCCATCATTAGCTATTTTTCCACCCTTAGGGTGTTAATTTTTTTTTTTGAAATTTAAATGGGACCAATCTGGAAGTATACCCTTTCAAACAAAACAAAAATTGTCCAAATCGGTTAATAAATGACGAAGTTCTGAGGTAACAAACATAAAAAAAAACAGTCGAATTGAGAACCTCCTCCTTTTTGAAGTCGGTTGAAAATAAGAATTATCCAATTTGGTGCAGTCGATCGGAAGTTATGAGCGTACATTTCGGTGATTTATTTTTATTTATATAGATAGTAATTATGAGTATTCTTCAAACTACTTTTTAGTTTTATTACAATTTTCAACAGACTTCAAAAAGGAGGAGGTTCTCAATTCGACTGTATGTTTTTTTTTATGTTTGTTACCTCAGAACTCCGTCATTTATTGACCGATTTGGACAATTTTTGTGTTTTTTGAAAGTGTATACTTCCAGATTGGTCCCATTTAAATTTCAAAAAATAAATACCACCCCTAAGGGTGGAAAAATGGCTAATGATGAATTTAACCTACTTCTAATTGTCATATTGACTTGACACTTTGCAAGTGTTTCTATTTCCGTTGATAGTACAGTGGTTCGGTATTGTTGATCTGATCTGATGGTAAGGCCAGAAGGTGGATAGGTGGAACTCTTCAACGGCTAATAGTAGATACTTTGAGTTTGGGCTTTTTTGTTTGATTTGACAAGCCTAATACGTTAGAATTCTTACTTTGCTACTACTGTCTACACTAAAAAGGGAAAAATAAAAACTTTTTAACAAAAAGTTAAAAACCGACTTCAAACAAAAGCACTAAAAAGTAAAAAAATACTGATTGGTAGTTTTCATTTACTATACATACCTAATCAAATATATTTGAAGTCGGTGTGCTTTGGCTAAGTAATTAAAGCCTACCTATTAAATACATACCTAATAAAATATTTTCGAAATCAGTGCCAGGCCATATAAAGCAAAGCACACCAACTTCGAATATATTTGATTAGGTATGTATAGTAAATGAAAACTACCAATCAGTTATTTTTTACTTCTTAGTGCTTTTGTTTGAAGTCGGTTTTTATTTTTTTGTTAAAAAGTTTTTATCGTTAAACATTTGGTGGCACTATCCATACACTAAATATGAATCATTATTTTTATTTTCCGACTTCCTAAACTCAGTAGCCTAGTTAATTAGTAATAAATGAAGCCAAAAGTGTGTTAATGAATTTCTTATAAGTTAAATTAGTACGTGAGTTACTTGAGGTATTTGATCAATTTTGGACTATTAGCCCAGTCAAATAAATATTTTAGATATGGCCCTATATGTAAAACTTTGTTTTGGCAGTTTGTATGTTGCAATAAAAGAATCACATAAGGTGGTTGGTGTTCATGTTGGTTTTCTTCACCTACAATGAGATGTGAAGTCATTACAAAAGTTATACAACATAAAATTCTGTATAATTTTGATCCTATGCAATAATTAGTATGATTAACCATTTTTAAGATAAAATGGAAAAAGCACTTGACAATAAGAATATATTTGGTATTTGGTCAATTCAGTTAAGAATATTTATTATTTTAATTTAATTTAATTAAAATTCTTTTCATATTTATCACTTACAATTATAATTACATAATAAGTAATAATTATAGGTACTATCCTTAAGCATATTTTATAAAAAATATCAAGAGTTCTAATCGGTCATCCGGTCAGAACGATGTTCCTTTCGCTGTCCGCCCTTGACTCATAAATAGGTCACAAAATCGTCACGAGTACTAAGGTATTTTACATCTAACAACATATTGTACAATGTTCATGTTGGAGTTTACCGAAAGCCTGCACAGAGTGCACAAGAATTTTTTACAACGCACATTCCTTAACACTTATGAGTTATGATCACGTACGATGATGTCATGAGCTGCCCTTAGCTCATAATATCTGGTGACAATAATTGTCACGGGTACTAGGCGACCACAAACCTTAAAGAATGTTCATTATATACAATTGTATGCAGGGCCCCGTCATAAGAGTGCATACGAACTACTTACTACATATATTCCTTAACGCTCATGATCGCTTGGTACTTTGACGACGTCACATGGGATGTTTTTAGTCTATACATATAATAAAACTGTAGAGGTCGAATGTCTGTACATAGAAAAAAAATGCTGAAAACCGAGTCAGGGGAATGTAAGAAGACAAATAGAACAAATCCAGTTTTTTTTTAATTTTTTGTTTCTCTGTTTGTCTGTTTGTACGGGCTAATCTCCGAATATATTGGACCGAATTAGATGAAATTTTGCATGGTAGTACCTTATATCCCCGGGCAACATCTTAGATACTTTTCGCACCGAAAAATTAAAGAGTTCCCGTGGGATAGTCAAAAAACTATAGTAACTTATACAGCTTATTACACAAGAACTACTAATTGGATTTTAATTAAACTTTACAATAATATCCATACTAATATAATAAATGTAAAAGTATGTTTGTTTGTCTGTTTTTCTTTCGCGTCGAAGCGTCTGGGCGGATTGGCATATTTTTTGTGTGGAGATAGTTGGCGGGCTGTAGAGTGACATAGACTACGTTTTACCATGGGATATTATCTCTTTCTCACGGGAAAAGACGTTATAATACAACCCAAAAAAATATTTATGATCAGATTTATTTGAAACTTGGTATTATTTATTACTCTTTAATAAAATTAAATATATACGTGTTTTAGCATTTTTCGAAATTCATCCTGTAAGGAGGTAAATAGGGGATGAAAGTTTGTATGAAACTATACTTTTAGAGGTTTTTTGTAGTTTAGTGCGAGCGAAGCCGCGGGTTCTGCTAGTAAATAATAAAAATTGTCGTGACGTCGATATATAACACCTTTTCCCGTCCTAGCTCATTCGCTATGTGCCTAGTATAACGCGCGATAAAGAACTTGGTTCCAGAAATCTGTTTTGTAATTTTTCTATAATTACATATAATAAAAATATAATATCAGTTAAAATAGGTTAAATATTTTAATATATACACTTAAGGTTATTTTTGTTTACTAACTCATAATTGCACTTATTCGTCATCTACATATTTTATTTATTGTATTATGCAGCTTAGGTATAGGTACTAAGCACTACAAGTACATACATACGGCCACTAAACACTTTGCTCTATCTCAAGAACGGTAAGAAATTTTGCTTAATGCTTAAGAACTTTGTTAAAAAATTTTATCCTTTACAACATTTGAAATGACTTCAAATTCGATTTTCAAAGGAAGTAAGTTTTTCGCTACCATTAACCTCTGATAACTTGAGACGTGGACACGAGATGAGACCCAAAATGGTTAAACAAAACCAAAATGCTAAAACAAAAGTATGTATATACAATTTTATAGTTTTTATATCTTTTGTACCGAGTTAAGCATCTTTTCTCACGTAGTTTAACTAAGCTATAAAACTACTTTCATATAACAGCCAACGATTGTTTTCAAATCATATTTGAGTCACGGATCAAAATTATGATAAGTACTTATCTTTTTGCATTACAAATTAAGAACAATTTAGCTAGAATATAAGATATTAAAAACCTGTTTAGATTCTATTACATTGGCGAATGGCGAGTGATATGTAAATTACAAAGCTCGATTTGCTGTAATGGATATCCATCTTGTAAGTAATTACAATAGTGCATTCGTTATTTTATTCATGGTGTTGACAAATATATTATGTATATATTCTATACTCAAGTCAGTAAATAACTAAATAAGTAAGCAATATATCATCCTTTCAATTATTGTAGGTAGGTACTTTATACTTATTATTTATTATATATTTATAAAATACGGATCAGAATCTTGACATTAGATCAAAACATATATATGTACATAAGTTGCTAAGTTTTTTTGTGGAATTATTGAATCATTTAATATTGAGTAAGATCTACGTGTCGAATTAAGATTAGGATAGTTCGAGATAACCAAATGACAATCATAATGTTAATAGGAATTATAACCTCAACGAGATAACAACGTCTAATACGTACCTATACCTACAAGTTATTGCATAACGATTGAACTCACCAATAGGTATATCTTATGTTGTATAATATGCAAAAGCTTTGTTTTAACAATTTTAAATCAAATAGTATGGTAGTTATTGTTATTTATTACATTTAGCCTTACACAGAAGAATAATTAAATAATCTATACATATAATAAAATTCTAATTAAGCCGAATCTGTACATCAAATATTTTTTGGAAAATCTTATTAAAATAGATATTGTTTTCAATACAGAGGCCGAATCAATAGTTTTTAAAATTTTTGACTGTCTGTCTGTCTTTTACCGCATCACGGAAAAACCACTGGAGGGATTTTGATGAAATTTGGTATGGTGATAGCTGGTTATCCGGGTCAACATATAGGATAATTTTTACCACGTAAAAATATCTCATTTCTGAAAAAAAAATACAAAAACTGCAATGTCAGAGTGTACAAATATGTAAAACCTAAGAATGTTTTTGATCATCTGAACGCGCAACGGGTGATAAAAAGTAGCCTATTGTTTGACCGGCAATATAAGTTATGAGCATGCCAAATTTTACTAAATTAGGTGCATAAGTTGCAGTGTACTAAGCTTTATAAGTTACTATAGTTTTTTAACTATCCCACAGGAACTCTTTAATTTTCCATTATGAAAAGTAAATTTCATTCAAATCGGTTTAATAGTTTCGGAGATTAGCCCGTATAAACAGACAAACAGATAAACAGACGTAGAAATAAAAAATTTGAAAAAAATCTGGATTTGTTCTATTTCTCTTCTTACATCCCCCTGACTCGGTTATTAGCATTTTTTTTCTACGTACAGACATTCGACCTCTACAGTTTTAGTATATGTATAGATTTCACCAATGTAGAGTCATCTCCGTTAAGAAAATAATAATATCGTAAGATAATATTTAAAAAATTAAACAAAATCTGTACTCATGGGCTTTAACATTTAAATCGAACCAGTTTATCGAAATCGTTATGTGTTATGTTTTTGACTTTAGACGTGATGACGTCGACCGTGACCTATAGACAGACTTCAAACTATACTATGCTAATATGAATAAAACTATCTTTTCGGAGAGACTTCCGTGACCATGATTGTTGTAAAGTATTCAAAACATCGGAAACCAAAGATAAAAATAAATCCACGAAAAAATCCCAAAAAATATTTTTATTTAAAATGTCAAATATTCAAGTAAATATTTATATGTAAAGCAAATCTAATATATTTCGATACGTAAAATACATCACAAATTGATGTATAATATTTTAACTACAATTAAAATTCATACTTCATACCTAATCATGTTTACCTATTAGATATTCATATCTTAAAATATTGTGGGCTGGCACCGACTTCGAAAATACCTTATTAGGTATCTATTTTAAATGAAAACCCAGGTTTTAGTTATTTTTTACATTTTAGTGCCTGGAAGTCGGTTTTTTTATTAAGTTTTTATTTTTCCATTGTTATTGTAGACGTAATAAGGTAATTTGTAAGAAGAAAGTTTTTAATAACATATTCGATTAGGCAATTTATTTAAAAAAATAATTTATTGTTGATTTTTAAAAACTGCTTGACCGATTGCGATAAAATTTAAATGGGACCACCTGGGATGTATATACCCTATGAAATTAAAAAAATTCCAAATCGGTTCAGGCGTCTTCGAGTAATCGATGAACATACATAAAAAAAGATTCCGACAGGTGAGAACCTCCTCCTTTTTGGAAGTCGGTTAAAACCCCCCATTATATCGGTTCAAAATTAGCTTTAAAATAGCGAAACATAAAGTTCATTCACCGAAATTAAATAAATCCTCCTTTTTTGAAGGCGATTAAAAATATAATTTTATTTAATCTCGTCTATTACATGTAAGTTAACCTCGGCGAATCCTTAGAAAGCGATACCCAGAATCGAGGATTGGGAACATTTTTGTGTCTCCGGGTGAAATAAAACGGGGTGGTGGAGAGGGGAGAGGTTTGTTATGGCGGCGGCAGGAAGCGGCCGGTGGCACGTGTAAGAGCGGCCTTGAGACGGCAGGTCGTCGAACGCGGCGCGCCGATGCCGGCAGACGCAGCCGCCCGCCGCGCGTCGCCCAAGGGACGACGGACCCGCAACACCATAGCCTTTGTCCCTATCTCCCATCTGCACCTATTAACCGCTACATACGTATAACCACCAACAGTTCTGACTGACGAGCCCGCCATCTTTATCGATTGTATTTCTCCACAGATTAGATTTCACAAACCCGTTCCTTATCAGTTTATTTGCAATTCGTGAAAGGTCAACCAGTTTTTTCTTATTTTTGCAAGCCGTACCTAAATTCAGGCGTAATAAAAAGACAAGTTTGTTAATTTTAATATTATCGATTTATACACGAGTCACATAGACGTAGCATCGGGGTCATCACAACAATGCACTATTCAATGTAACGTCATTCCAAACGAATTCCTCGTGAATTTGGAATCATTAGAATCAGTAAAGAGCGCGTAGCACATTTGTTTTTATATAACGTAATCGAGCAAGTCAAACTTTGCAACAATTTATTTATTATTTTATTGTAGAAACATGAAATATAATCGGATTACAATCATTATTAAACCAATAATTGGAGAAAATAATATATTTAGATAAGAGGAATTGACTTTGCATAGGTATTTGCACAGAAACTTGTTATTATCAGGCTGATAAAGGATGAGGGAGGGCAGGCCTACGACGGAGGGGGAAATAGGTCGCGAGGCCATCGCCCGAGCGCGGCCTCACCAGCCGACCGAACCCGGCTACCCCTACGCCAATTTCACGATAGAATCTTATTATTCTTAAACAAATAAAGGCGTACCCTATGTACAATAAACAAAAGCAATTTTTTTCTTAGGTAATATGCCGCTTTTAGTCGAATGAATTTCTGACTAGCCGGCAGATCAATTGTTTCCTGGAACCTACAATGTCTATAATATAATTATATTATATTACACTAGTGTAGTAGCATTACGTAAATACTGCAAAACGTAGTATGATGTTATATATATAATCTGTTTAATTTATACACAGTACCCTCGTTGTATGATATACATATTATAAGTATCTTATATCTTTAAACGATGTAGATACATAAATATGTATAGACATAAAACTAATCTAGAACGATAAATCGATCTAGATTAATCTTGTCTGAGAAAACGCGTGTTTTCGAGTCTTCATGCAGTTTTCTTGTGCATTATTCCACGCAAAATATGGTCGGTAATTTGCACGCTCAGGAATAAGCATCGTGGTCAAGCAGCCACGGTGCAAGATCAACAATCGCAGGTGTCGGGGTTCGAATCTCGGTCGCATACAAAGCTTTTTACTTTTGTCTTTTTAATATTTATTCAAGTTTTTAGTTTTTTTTTAATAAAGAAAATTGTACTACAGGCCAAAAATTCCGAGCGAAGCTCGGTAGCCCAGATACTGTGCATTATACAACCAATTTCTGGCTGATTTTGTTCTGTCTTGATAAAAAAATATTTTATAAAAGAAGGATAAAGAAGAGCTTACAATAATTATACTATATTATATTTTAGTTACTGGAGTACATTATTATTGCTTGCAATACGAGTATACTCGTAATATGCCAAAATGCCATACTTTCATTACATTTTATGTCTAATAAAAATCTTATTTTATTATAAACCTTTCCAGTCTGGGACCTTTAATATTATAAAAGGCCACCAGATTATAAGTTTTATTTTTATAAAAATATTAATGTGTATAAAAATCGTGTTATATTTAGCGGCCAACTAAGATTTGCTCATGTAAAAAAACCGACGAATTGAGAACCCCCTCTTTTTTGGAAATCGGTTAGTAAAAGTCTATATAATACGGTCTAAATAATCACATTTACAGGAAAGATACTAAAAAAGATTGATTATTTTCTAAAATAAGTTATATTAACCCAATGGTATATTTACAAAAAAAAATATTATTATTAATAATAATACGAGTAACTCAGCTCTTATGACGTCCCTCTGCTGATCATGAGCCTCCCCTCAATTCTAGGGAAATTTGGCAATTCGCTAGTCAAATGTGGTGACAGCGGACTCTACCATGTCTACAATGTTTTCCTTCATCGTAATCTGACTTAGTACAACTAAGTATCATGTTGAAAATGATCCGCACATTAAAATATCAGACTCCTCTGATATTTTGATGAATCAGTATTAATCTGGTGGACCGAGGTCTTGCAAGCAACCAACATTAGGTAATTCGGCTAAGAAAGTCATTATTAATTCCCTCGATATAAAATGTTTCATCAACATTTATTTATGTATTATGAAATAATACTAAATAATAATATGTTTTTAATAATATGTTATAATAATGTATTTTTAATATACTAGAATTCTACGTAGTTGGCGTAGTGTCCACTCACTACGCTATCTTCATGTGCGAGTAATTTTTAACCTGATTACTGCTCCGTACGATGATAAAACACATCGTGAGGAAACCTTCATGTCTGAGAGAACCTAATACCTTATATAATATCAACTAATTTTATAATAATAACTAATTTTCGAAGAAGTAAGTTCGTTTACCTGCACTTGGCCAGCTTGGTATACAATGGACTCACTCCTTTTAAATGGCGGCCCGTGCCAGCAGAACGTTAAAAAGGACTGACTGAATGAATGAAATACAATAAAGGATTTAAGAGTGTTATGTCTTTAAAAACTTTTTTAAATATTTTTGATTAAAAAAAAGAATAATACTTTCTTATAATACTTTCTTAAATTTACTTATTTAAAAATAAAAAAATAAAAACCGACTTCAAACAAAAGCACTAAAAAGTAAAAAATAACTGATTGGTAGTTTTCATTTACTATACATACCTAATCAAATATTTTCGAAGTCGGTGTGCTTTGCTTTGTATGGGCTGGCACCGATTTCGAAAATATTAGATTAGGTATGCATTTAATAGGTAGGCTTTAATTACTTAGCCAAAGCACACCGACTTCGAAAATATTTGATTAGGTATGTATAGTAAATGAAAACTACCAATCAGTTATTTTTTACTTTTTAGTGCTTTTGTTTGAAGTCGGTTTTTATTTTTTTTTTGTTAAAAAGTTTTTATTTTTCCCTTTTTAGTGTAGACAGTAGTAGCAAAGTAAGGATTCTAACGTGTTAGGCTTGTCAAATCAAACAAAATAAGCCCAAACTCAAAGTATCTACTATTAGCCGTTGAAGAGTTCCACCTAACCACCTTCTAGCCTTGCCAGCAGATCAGGTCAACAACACTGAACCACTGTACTATCAACGGAAATAGAAATACTTGCAAAGTTCCAAGTCAATATGACAATTAGAAGTAGGTTAAATTCATCATTCGTTGTTTTTCCACCCTTAGGGGTGGTATTTTTTTTTTGAAATTTAAATGGGACCAATCTGGAAGTATACCTTTCCAAACAAAACAAAAATTGTCCAAATCGGTTAATAAATGACGGAGTTCTGAGGTAACAAACATAAAAAAAAACATACAGTCGAATTGAGAACCTCCTCCTTTTTGAAGTCGGTTGAAAAAGAATATTTTTAAAACTCCCCTTTGCTTCCACTATGTGCTAGTAGAACTCTTGTTAAACTCGATTTATACCAGAAAAGCCTGTGCTTACAGACATTTTTATTTTATAACATGATTTTATTTAAAATTGTTATTTTTATATTTTACACTATATTTTTTACTAAAACATCTCAAAGTAGGTAAAAATGCCATAAAATGGTGACAGTCAAACACTATTTATCACGTGCGGACTAGAAATGGTAAGACGTGGGAAGGTAATCCAATGTTAGACTTTCTCTATTGGGGTCCTTATAATATAAAACCAGGTTATATATTATAATAACTTAATTCCTAACAATAATTCTTTTCATAATAATTACATGATATATATTCATATGTATGAGTGTAATCAGTCCCTTTTGAAGTTATACTTCTCTTGGTGCGTTATGAAAAAAAATTTTTTACGATGTGACAGATTTAGATATGAATCACTACAATATGAAGTTAGTCGTTATTGGCTAGAGTGTGAAGTTAGACCCGGTGTCTGTCTGTAATCAAATCTTACAAGTTAAATTTGACCCACTTCCCAGTGTCCGATTGAGCTTAAATTTGGCACATACGTTCGATTCTCGTAACTGCACGATTACCTGAATGCCGCTATTTTTACTCCAATATGACGAATGTTACAAAATAGCGATTTATCATTTCTATAGTGACCTTTTTGAAATGGATATCAAATAAAAGACCTCGATGAGCATAACACAATAAGTAAAGTAACGTCGTTGTATATCTTTTCAATACGAGGGGGATCAGGCCATAGTCCACCACGCTGGCCAAGTGCGGGTTGACGGATTTCACCAGTCTTTCGGAAACCTGCTAGCTTGCTGCTGCTGCTAAACCTTCTCTCAGACATGCAGGTTTCCTCATGATGTTTTCCTTCACCGTAAGCGGTAATCATGTTGAAATAGATTCGCATGTGAAAATATCAGAGGTGCTAACCCGGGAACTGAACCCACTTCACTCGGTTTCCCAAGCGAGCATGTAAATATTTCAATAGTATACTAAAATTAAATTTCTACTCGATAAGGTAATGATTACATGTCACAAGACATAGTACTGCATTACTTTTGGCTTTTGGATTCTGGTATTTTTGACTTCTTTAAATAATTGTCTATTTACCACCCGAGGCTAACATCTTTCCGTCTGAGCCCTTCTAAACAATAAATAATTTACTTCCTATAGTTATACTATCATCACATGCATCTTTTTTTTTTGGTTTATACTATAATTTTTAGTATAAATCTTACTAAATTAATTTAACTTAGATAATCATATCATCACAAGTTTTGTATATTAAACTCATTGAGTAAATCAGAAGCCCTTAAAGTCGAAACTCCATTTTTTCGAGTGTAGCTAAATCTGTATGTCTGTATATTTATTATTATTAGTTATGTAATACAATAACAAAAATATTCGAACATATATTATATATATTTAAAACACAGTCACATAATACAACAGAAAAACAACATGAACATTATGTAGTAAATATTATTCATCCACTTTTGCCTAAGATATTTTGTCAATAGCAGTGATGATCGAATATCAAGGTGTAGTGGTA